GGGCATAAAGTGGCATCATGGAAAAGTACTGCAGAAGCAGGCATCATAATGAGGAAAGTAAGACGAGCTCTCTTTAAATTAACTGATATGATTCATCCATAAGGATCTTGCGTCAAGGAATTCATGGAGATGAACACAGCTGCGCCTTATTCTGCCGCGTAATGGGGTCAGTGCCCAGTGTCGAACAAAATCAATGTGGCTCTGAGATTGCTCAAGATTATGTATTGATTTTTACCGCCCCCTGTGCAACGCTCCTTTGAAACTGATGCTCTGAAAACGAAAGAAAATATGCAAAATGAATTTCGATTAATCTAATTCTGAGAGCTGAATGGAACTGTCAGGAATGATCAGTGACAATGTCTAAAAATCGGTCTTGACATTTTAAAAGCGCACTTGCCAATATTGAGGACCCTCTATTTCCTTTTAGGCTACTCATTAAGGAAACAAAAGATTAAAACACCGGTTGTATTATTCTCACTCCATTACTGAACTCAACCATTTCCTTACATACGTTCACACAATTGCATCATTATTTTCATTTCATACTTATTTATACATTTATCTAAATGACCTTATTAAAACAGTCGCTTTGTAACACTATTACCACGTTCGATATCTTAACATGTTGTGATAGTCCTGTTTTTACATTCAAAAACATTACATTACTGTACACTGTAATGTACACTGGAGTAGAGATTGTGTTGTAATTGAGCTCTATTACCATTGCCATTTTATTTCATACATTGGGGAGGAATGCTGTATCAATTTTTTCCCATTATAGTTCGATTGAAATTTAAAGAGTTTAGTATCAAGCTTTGACCTATTGTTACACAGTCAATGCAGTCACTTCTTGGGATTAATGGCTATAGATCATCTCAGAATAATCTCATAATTTAACTGCGAACAAACGACAATTCTAATTCTGTACTGAAGGACTATTGAAGTGAACAGAGTAGTATCACTGTTTAGCTCCTCTTGGAAGATTTGTTAATCCGATAAATCATTGTCTTTTTCTGTTAACAATATAGAAACTATAATTCGTTGATCGTGAAATAATACGTAATTTGTATTTAAATTGATAAATAGAATGTAATCAGCAATGCATTACAGTGGTAAGTGCACAGTTACTTCTAATATGTATTCTGATCATTCTTATTATGCCTATAGTATTCATTAACAAGATTTAGACACCTTTCCCATTTCTTCTGAGATCAGCGGTCCATTCCTTGGTAATAATGTTTAATATAATTTACACTGTTCGATGAAACCGCAGCCCAGATGTGTTTTCTGGCGTTAAATCTGACTACTTTCAAGAAACGGCTGAATGAGAATCTTGGGTCCGATATAAAAGATTATTGATGTCGTGCGCAATTACAACATATTCACAAATAATGGGGTAAAACACGAAATAATCCGTAACTTCAGGGAAATAGCATTTTAATTATTAACACAGCATTTAAGAACCAGTGGAAGGCGTTATACTTGACAGTTACTTAGGAATTCAGTAGGAGAAAACCGTTTTGACGCGGTTTTTTTTCAGGGCGGCTTTGTAATAAAAGTACGCAATAAAGTAAAAATACTAGGTACTGACACTTATTTTGTATTTTGCTTATATCGACACCCAGTTCGAATTTCAAATGAGCACAGATTCGGTTGAAATGGCAGCCATAATTTACAGTAAGAAAACTAAGAAACAATGCCTTTGAAAATTCTGGTTATTCCTTCAACGTACTGTAGCTTGAAAAGCCACACAGAAGTGTCTCTGCTTCAATCCTGGGCTCTGGCGTAGGTAAACTGGGGGAAAAAAACCGGTTTTTTTTTAATTCCTCCGTAGTAATTGATACAATATATTGTTTCAACTAGCTTCCGTTTAAAAATAAAGGAAACAATTGGTGAATATTTTAATTGAAACAAAGAAATCGAGAATTGTTGCTATACTTCAGAAAAAAACAGTCAACTAGTTACACTACATACTAAGAATCATTTTAATATTTAAAAAAATAAAAGTTCATTGACATTTTCTCTCACTTGTTACAATTATTTTTCTTTAAGCATTACGTTTATTAGGCACTAGTGCAGTTATGCACTGATATTTATTAATTAATAAGGGGGTATGAATATGTATAATATATACTGTATATATTTGTAAATAGTAGACATATCCAATTAGTAAAGGGGCACTCTGGCCTGCTGACTTCAGGTGCATACTGTAGATATGGGTCTTCATGCATTGTACCTTGCTATGGATCACCTTGAATGTTAATTCTAGAAACCTCTCCATCTGTATTTTTTAAATGTTTTCAAAGTCACTGCAGAATACTGTGGCCAGCACTTTTATGTCAAAGAGCACAGCCTCTCTCAATTTTTGTTGCCAGCATTACTGAATTAGACAACTTCTTTTTTTGACTTGCTGAATTCCAGCTCTCATTAATTCTTGTCTTCACACTACATTGCTTTACCATGACTCCTCATTTCCTTAAAGGTGATTCCCACTTATGTTCAGCTCGGCAAACCACGTACTCTTAACAGAAGTAAAAATGTTTGGCTAGAGCAGACCGTTGGGTTATACATTGTGGTCATTGGCCCATTCCTCAAGTGTTTCATTGTGAAGGAGACAGAACTGTTGTTTCTTATGTGCAGTATATTCCAGAACGATGAAAAGGTCAGCACTGATCATTTCAAACTTTTCATCTGATGACTCTTGCGGAATTAATTCCACAGCTTGTTTCTTACATAAGTCACAGATGACCTACTCTATCAGCCTGAAATACAAGGGCGACCGATGATTACACCGCTGCCAGAAACCAGAGCGCGATTTTCCAGTTCATTCAGTCTCTTTGTAAAGGTCAGTAATTGCCGTCTGTCGCTCATCGTTATTAGGGAACCCTTCAAGCCTGACACATTTTTCACGGCTGAAAAAATGCACAGTTTTATTGCTGGCATGGATAACTGGTGAAATAAGACCTCTAACATCTTGCTTCAAAAGTGAATGGCCCCAGTAATTCTTTCCAGAACTAGTGAGCAAAGTTACTGCTATTCATTGTGTTCCATGGGTGGGACTTCAGAAAAGAAACGGATGTGATGTCTAGCAAATAGCAGAGGGAGTTGAAATTCAAAAAGACAAGTACATTGCAACAGGTCCCTGGGAAAGTGCTCTGCTTGTATCACATACAAATTGGACGAAATGAAAACATGTTATGGGCTTGCTTTGAATAGAAAGTAATTCAAGATAGCTAGGGAATTGGATACAAAATAGCTGTACAGAGTTCTTACATTTTGTTGTTTAATATAATCTGATGTTTGCATGAAGCTCACTCCTCATAATTTTCTATCCTTTATTTCATTCTGTTGATGTATGTTTTTTCCACGTTTGATGTTATTTTGCACATTACCTGTTACCTGTTGTTGTTTTGCACACTGCCTGTTGTCTGTCTTTGTTTTCTTATACAATTGTATTGTTGTTTTTCGCACTACTTATCGTCTGAGAGCTAGCTAAACAGCATTTCGTTAAACCATATACCTGTATATGAGTAGAATGACAATAAACTTGAACCTGAACTTGAAGAATTCAGATAATGTTGTCTGTTAAAGTAAGGGAATGCTCTATTGAAAGTGCAACCCTGCTATTCCCAGGTCTCTACACAACAGTAACAATTCTACAGTATGTCATACCTACAGTTGTCATACCAACTCATTGCTAATTCCCTAACCCTAATTCAATCATTATCAATCAGTAACCATGACAACATGATGTGGAAGGCAATCAGTTCCTCCCATCAGACTTATTCCGGATTTTAAGACCCACATTCTCATCTCCTTGTGCTTAGCCTTATTTTTCTCTTCTAGTCCAAGCGTTCTCCACTCACTTACCTGTTCATGCTCCAACTGTGCTTGCTTTCTCACTGTGCTCCTGGATTGCCTCTGTACTGCGATGGACTTCTCTGGCTTTGACACTGGACTGCCGTCTCTACTCCACTTCATACTTTCCCCTGGGACTTTATAGACCTTTGACTTACGCTTGTCCCCGGTTACAATTATATTGCGTTTTGGATTGTGCGCTCGAACCTAAATCCGGTCTCCTGCCTCACACCACTTCGCCATCCCTGTAAGTACAGCAGTATTACAATCTAGCCTTTATATAACAATTTTCATCCTAGCGGAACCCACAGAGTCAGCTTTTGCATCTATAGAAGGGGACATGTTTATCTGCTGCTGCACTGTGCCACTTACCTGTGTAACAGGAGAAGCCGTCATGCGGCAACAGCCCCACTATAAATCAGGTCAGCTGGAGAAGTGAGAAAACATAGCAAGACTTCACCCATTTAATCAAGGAACACATCTGGGGAGGTCAGCCTGTGCCCACCCACTGATCCACCAACACAACTTACAGCAGCAACCTGTCTGTCCTTACAAGTCTCTCATTCCAGTACTGACAAGGCCCAGCCTTCTTTAGCTTCTGAGATCCTACAAAATAAGGCTATAAGGTACTGCTGCTGTCAACAGAGTGCAGAAGGAACAGAAAGAGCTTCCTCATTCTGACGTCCTGCACAGTTCAGCTGGAAGCAAGCAACATCTGTGAGTATATTCCCAATGTGTCTACAGTGCTCATTATCTGTCAATGGCATGCACAGCTCTCAATGAACACTCAACGGGCCACGTTTCTCTTATGTGGGATATGAATGCACAATAAATACCAAGGTATTTCATTTTAGTTCATCTAACACCAGCTATGCTTTAAACCTGACCATCAAAGAAAATGGTGAGGGACAGCATAAAATATAAAAAGCAAGCATGCAGAGTTTGTGCATTGTTGATTAATTTTTACTGATTTTGTGTACTTAAGTGCAGGGTAGCACTGCAGGGAGCCCTAATGTACAATTCTGCCCGAACAGAACACATTACAGTTACATGTAGACACTTTATTAACATTGTGTTTTAAAGTAGAAATGGAATTCACTTGTTTCTTTTTAAACACATCTGGTTTGATCTGAGCTTATCAGTCATTAACAGTTCATGAAGAATTTACATTAATGAAAAACAAGACAACTTTGACAATAGGTTCAAATTTCCCTTTTATGCACAACAAATGACATTTAGTAAGTCTTCTGTTACACCAATCATCAAAAATCATAAGATATTTTTACGACGTTCCCACAAGTCAATTCTAATGTAAGCGTTTTACAGTATGTGTAGATCTGGATATGTTCTTGGGGTGCTCTTTGTACACAGTTGGGGATTAAGAGCTTACTATGACAATGTACATTTACAAGACACGCACTCTATGAAGGACCTCCTCAAGTTTAATATCATAAGAGCTTTACCTTATTGACAGGGTAGTGATCACTGAACCATTGACAGGTGGTTCCAGATTCTGTCCAGTAAAAAAGTCCTGACTTTATCCTCTAAAGTCCCTACTGGGTGAATTAGTAATGGGGGTATTAATACAGATTGCAGACTTACTATTGAAACAAGTGTTTGCATGAGGGATATTGCATGATCTAATGTTGAATGTACAGCATCTTAATAAATTATGATCTGTTTACTTTGTGTTGTTCTCACACAGATGATTTTATTTTGCCAATGACTCTGTTTTATTTCCGATGCAAGACTTTTGAGAAAAAAAACAAGTGAAGGAGAATTATGTTAAAACAAAAAGACTGATGCTGACTGCAGGACCCTTCTCTCCTCTGCAATCTCATGAAGGCTTTTTAGTATGAACCGTAAAATAATTCCAAACAGTATTGTCTTGGTCAAGGTTGTTTATTCAGTACACTAAGAAAAGCCGGTTATATCCCAGTCACCTTGCTGATGCGTGTCGTTATGTCTGGAGAGATTGTAAAGTAGGGATCCCTCTTCAGTTTGCCACAGAATCATTCTTCCTCACTCAGACACAGAAGCTTTGTGACATTAGACAAGGAATATGGGACACCAGCACAAAACTACAGACATTTTGCTTCCCATACTGCAACCCTTACAGCATGAACAACAGATCTACTCATGTGTAAATTATTTTTGATCCTTTAGAGGCAGTAACATTCATATTTTGCACAATTACGCAAAGCTTAAGTGCAGTCATAAGCTGAAATTGTACTGTTTCAATAACCAGCGAGACGTCTGTTACTCTAAGAGTTCATACTTGAAACAAATGAAGATAATGTTACAAAATCACAGCTGAAATGAATCTCTCAGGGACATCTTCTGATCTTTAACTAGAAACAACTAATATATGTCCTTGTAAGGCAGAAACATATCGAAGTCTTTGTTCCGGTGTTGAAATTAAGCACTATTGAGTGGTTCTCTCCCACACATTTGTTAAACTGTTCTCTCTGTTCTCTTTGGTTGGCTGATTCATACAGGCTCTAAAGTCTGATAAATGGGAGCATCCAGAATTAGACTTTCTAAGACTGATAAGAGAGAAAGCTTAGAGTACAGTACGTGATCTGTTGAAGACCTGTCAAGACAATTCACATCTCTCTTCTCTTAATTTTTTTTTTACTAAGTCCTCAGTTCTCTACATTCCTGGACTAGAGAGCACTACCCTGTTCACCTATCAATTAGCGCAGGACTGCAAGCAATAATGAAGCATCACAAAGCTGAGAAAGCAACAGTCCGGGGCCTAGAAATATATACAATGTGCATTTCCATAAATTAGAAACTTTTTCAGTTCCGATACTCATCAGACGACCATGTTAAGACCAACATCCAGTGTTTAAGCTTGGTGCCATGCTTGCTAATTAAATAGTTTATACAGAAGCAACTTTGTATCCAAGCTGCAGCTAATGTAAAGTGGTTCTCACTGGCCATTTGACATTGAAGCTAAAAGGCTTCATTAGACTGAAACTCTGTGATTTACTAGTATTACATTATTACAGGATAACCTGATATTACTATAGAAGTCATCTGTCGCCACTCCAAAAGCCAGGAGGGCTTCACTAAATGGTCTTCAATAAATAATATCTCTACTGTGCTACAATCCTACTATACTTATAATTATTTCTTCTTTACACGTGATAGGATGACACACCGGTACATCACAAAAGTGCTCACGATGTGTTTGTCAGGGAGCAAAGCCTGTGCCACTAGGTCCAGTTAGCATACAGCATGACCTACAAAACACAGATTAAAAAACAAACAGATCACAATGTGTTTCTTCTCAGGTTTATTCAATTGCTATTAATACTTATTAAGATGATGCCTTTATCCAAGGCAACATAAAAGTAAGGGATATTCACAGAACTGTGCAAATATACAGTATGCTAGACTGATATACAGTTATAAAGTTACACAGTAAAAAGAACAATCAACCAATCCTAGCAACTAAGGGGAATGAGTACAAAGCAAAACACTTGAATATCTAATATTGAGTGGTAATTAAAATGATAAGGGTGCTTGAGATTTGGTGGGTAGTGTGAAGTAAAAGTGATGACAGGTTACAGATTGCAAGCAGGGATGGATTTTAGGATGTACAAGTGCAGTTTGAACAGGTGGTTTTTGACTCGTCACCCTAAAAAGTATGTAGAAATGGGATATGAAACATGATGTTCCTAATTAATCAGTAACACAGCAGAAAGTGAGTGGCGTTCCTGAAGACCTAACTCGGAAGATGCAAAAATGACAACATGTTTTATTCACTAGGATGAGACTTCTTTTTATCATTCTTTTGCTGAGCGTCTTATCAGATCTTGTCTGTTTTATACAGATGTATGAATGATATGATTAAATTATATCATGCTATCCATGAATCTGTACATAACAGACAAAAAAGCATAATCATTAATTATCGCTTACACTTATATAGCTCTTTTCTGGACACTGCACTCAAAGCACTTTACAGGTAATGGGGACTCCCCTCCACCACCACCAATGTGCAGCATCCACCTGGATGATGTGACGGCAGCCATAGTGCGCCAGTACGCTCACCACACATCAGCTATCAGTGGGGAGGAGAGCAGAGTAATGAATCCAATTCATAGATGGGGATTATTAGGAGGCCATGATTGGTAAGGGCCAATGGCAAATTTGCCCAGGATGCTGGGGTAAAACCCCTACTCTTTTAGAGAAACGCCTTGGGATTTTTAATGACCACAGAGAGTCAGGACGGTGCCTGTTTGCAGTATAGTGATGGGGCATTAGGACACACATGGACCGAACGGTGAGCGCCCCCTGCTGGCCCCACTAACACCTCTTCCAGCAGCAACCTTAGTTTTTCCCAGGAGGTCACCCATCAAGGTACTGACCAGGCTCACACCTGCTGAGCTTCAGTGGGCTGCCAGTAGTGAGTTGCAGAATTATATGGCTGCTGGCCATGTTACTGTAGGTTGGATCAAAGCTTTAGAACTGAAAGGAGTAGAAGTATCAAGGTTGGCATTTCCCTCGAACACCTGAACATGAAAAGCAAAAGGCTCACACTTGCCATTATCCTGTGGCTCGGGTTTGACACTTCTTCATCTTCAGATGGCCCGGGTCTCGGCCTCAATCTTGCGCTCCCCATGAAGGCTCTCGGTGTCGCTCTGGGCCACAGTCTGACGCACCGCGATCTCCGGCCCTCCACCGTAGATATTGAAGAGATAATGCCATGTCTCCTCCGAAATCTGTCCATAGTCGGCTCCTAAAACCCAAAGTACAACAGCTAGCCATTGCCAAACCAGCTCTTTCCAGTACAGCATTTGTTTCAATATTAGTAATGCATGCAGTGTGATTTTTCAATATTGACCTTTAAATCCCTAAATACCCATTTGAGAACCCAAACTTTTCCATTTATTTTGCTGCTCACCAGTAGTTTGTTTATAATGTTCTTGGATTTACATTATAATGCAATGTGATTGTGGGATGTGTTTGCCAGTGTTATTAAAGTGGTTTAAAAATAGGCATAAAATTTAACATCTGGACAAAACGGCAGGTTCGTGCATTTCAACTATAAAAAGGAAAATACAAATGGTAACGCTCCCTTTTCCTATCGAGCCACAGCATGAAAGCAAGGTCAATTTTCCTGCAGTAATAATAACCTTGTTTAAGCTGTATGTGCCCCCCTTTCATCACGCCAATTTTGCTGTTGTCAATGGGACCAGGTGGCTCTGAGAAAAGGAAAAGAGAACAATAATTTTAGTTTAATCATGGCGTCATTTTACTGCACAGCACTGTAGAAAAACTACCTCAAGCTCTAGACAGAAAAACACACCACTCACACCACTTAACTCATCAAACGGTATTGTGCAGGTTTAAGCTTGATTCTGGTATTTTTCTGTCAAAAGGTATTTTTTGTAAATGATTTTACAAGGCTGTATTTATAACGAATAAAATACACAGATTGTCTACATTTGTTGTAGCTGTGCTTTGGAGTCAGCAAAATAATACATGATTAAATAATACTTTAGGTCGATACTTTCTTTTACCGATAGATGATAGATATATCCGTACTGAATTTATTAAAATCAACAAAGTCTTAACAGATCTTCTACTCAAACCTTTCTGGAACTTTACCACTGTAAAAAGGCCTCACTGAAAATGTTAACATGAACACAGTCTGTGAAGTTAAATTCTCCACTGAATTAATCGCTCGTTAATTGCATGCTTTAAGAGCTTCTAAACCCTTAGAGGCTTTGATCACTGCCTGATCAAATACTTTGCTTAAATCCTCCTTCCTTGCAAAGGAAAAGGAAGACTAGGGCTATAGCTGAGCATAGCTGATTGTGAGCCTTACATCCAGGTAACTGAGGTAACACAGGAAGACACAATGCTCCCTAGTTCTGACTTTCCACAGGATATAAAGAAAAAGGCTACATTTGTACCATTGTCCTTTCCCTTGACAAAGCTCTCCCACTCCCTGAACCACTGCATACTGATACAGTAGATGACAGTGGGGGCTTCCTCTGCCTGGAATGCTTTGTTGAGCTACAGTGGGAAAGGAAACAGATTTAAAACCTTTTGAAACATTTTATGAATTCTTAAAAAAGCATTTTACATCTCTACTGCTGAGGATGCATTTAACAAGAGAAGTGTTGTACTTTATAGAAGTGGTGTACGTTTATATATATATACACACACACATATTAAATGATTACTATTATGTGAATCTAACCATACTTTAATAATATCAAAAAGGGAAAGACAGCAGCTGCTGTTGATTTTGAATGTATCTGCAGATCGGTGCTATCGCATGCTGTTTTTGCTGCTGTGTGAGTAATGATCAGCAGAAATGTGCCGGCAAACTAAAATCGCCAATCTTTTGTTTTGTGCAGTACTGTAACAAAAATCTTTCCAAGAAAACATTCACTTGTTGTCTATGGGTGAAGAGCCAAGCTGCTTTTCACGTTAATATTCCATAGGTCGTGGCTTCCAAACAACATACCTTGATGAAGGTATCAATCTCCACCTTCCTGCGCTTGGCCAGAGCTTCAATCTCCACCTGACATATGGAGCACACATACAGATGGTTCACAGCAGGGCCACCTCCAAACCTAGAGAGAATCCACAATTCTTTAATGAACTTCATGAACTCTAACTGCACAGGCTTGTTAGACGACAAAAATTATAGGAACATCCCACACTTCTGCAAGCATTTGACATAAAGGATGATAAACACATTACAGAGTTCTGAGTTAAACCTGCCACTATTGATTCACATCCATATTCTCCTTATAGTATTAAAAAATAATACTTGATTCCTTATCTAATAACTGGTAATTGTTATATAATTCACTCAAAAGTGGCAAGAGGTATCAATATAAAATAGGGTCAAAGTAACTTTCAAGGAGCTTAGCGCGTTAGTTGATGCAAGACAGTTTCTACATGTTTGAAGGCGTCCTCAGTGCAGCACTGCAATCTTTAGTTGAAGTGCTGTTAAAAAGTTCAGGTTTCCTTATAATACTTAAGCTGTACAGAGAAATAGGTAATGCCTGCAGATAGCTTGAAAAGCAGCTTAAATGAGTCATAAGCCCTGTACCGACAGAAGAAGATTGACTGCTCACCTGTTGTAGAGATACTCCCACACGTTCTGAGGCAGAATCACAACCAAGTCGTCAATATAGTGATATTTGTTGGGTGGGATACCTGTGTCAAAATAAAAAGACAATCACCGACGATCTTATTCCCATTGATCAAAACCCCCTTTAGACTTGAGCCAATCATCAAAAAAAAACATTTTTTTTAATTTACAGGATTCTCATTTTTATCAGAGAATATCTGGATACCTCCACGCTGGCTGTTAATGACTCCAGAAATCATGTATTATAAACAAATTCCTTAAGGAAAGTGAAACTGACATCGATGACAAATTCATTAACCTCTCAGAGAGTTTTGGCATCGCATACGGTAGCATCATTTATGACACATTTTAACCTCCATACGCAGACTGATTTCACTCACCACACTGTCATGAAGAGAGAATTCTGAATATTCAGTGCTCTAGTTTGAAACACGTACTATGAATACTGGAGCTTCATTCACATGAGTATAGGAATAGGCATTCCAGACATAACCTGTGGTCAGCCTGTGTTTTCTTTGAAGTGGAATACTTCATGTGTGCCAACATGCGTCAACAAAACCAAAGCGTGTTTTGTTTTAATTGTGAGCTGTTTTAAGTTTAATTGCGTTACGCAGTGCACCGATTATGACACACCAGGAGTTCCACTAAACAGCACGTCATGTCCTGTTTCATCTGTAATGGAGGGAGGGAGTAACCACAAATTTTCTCAAAACACTACTGTTACATTAATGTAGATTGGCATTAACACACCTTTCTGTCCACTGGGTGATATTTGTAAGGGCAGGAGCTCACAATAATATCTGGCTATTCTGAATAAGGTGTCTATTGGAATTAGTATTGAAAGAACTGGTGTGCAAGTTACTACACAAATACAAGAGTGAATCTGGCATCACCTAATTTGGAATATGGTTACCCAGAACACCAACAAAGAAACACTTGCTTAGCATATAATCATAATCCTGCTTGCATGGAAACGCTGAATCTGGCAATTTTAGACCCTGTTCATATTAAGACATTCAAGCTCAGAATTCTGGTGTAAACACCAGTGCAGAAAAATCTTTTTTGTCCTAGCAAGAAAAGAACAAAACTACATAACCTACCAAATGAAAACCTTTCCTGATGATAACCAAAGCTGTTTTATATTTTAACACAGAATTTTGCAAAGCGACCTGAAATCTCTTTCGTAAGCAAATCAGGATTTGTTTGAAGACCATTTTGAATAAACGAGTATTTGATAGTCCAACAAATGCTGTAACTAAGCAGCTTCTCTTTGGGCTTATTATTATTATTTTTATTTGTTGCTGTGTATTTCTCCATCCTAAATGAAATTAAAAGAATGGACCCTTTTTTTGTCTGGAAACAGACAGTTACCACAAGGGCCTGGATGCTACAAGAAAACAAGCAGATGAAGTCTCATATGGTAAAGTACAAAAAGCAGGAGAGAGGGCTCAGGATGTTTACCAACCAAAGCTCTATCTTTTAAGATGGCAAAATCAATTTGACTTGATGTCTCCGTTTTTCACAGGAAGAGGCTAAATCTTGATTTGCTATGTAATAATATATATGATAAAATAAAAAATACCCAAGCGAGAATTTCAATCAGAAACTAGTACAAATGGAATGACACACAATTGTCGAAAAGCATGTTGTATATAAACTTGCGAAGTGTGTTTGGTACACTCATGGTACACGCAAATTGTGATTTGCCATGTTTGTATATGAGATCATATATGAAACTATCTACAGAAAGAATGTTTGGGTTTTGGGTTTGTGTGAGATTCCCCAAAACACATATAAAGTCTCTTGAATTACATTGTATGCTTTTGTGTGCTCATGTATTGCAGTTTTACTTGACTCCACTTGGTATGTGTGGTTTACATTTTTCATACTTTCATATTTATTCATATTTTTCCTATTTAAGCTACTAGTCAGATCTGAGATGACTTGCATTGTAGAATTTTTTATTAAGGTCTTCTGGACGGGTTTGTTTAAGAGAGGAACCAAGAAGTACAAATATTACATACTGCATAATGGCTTTAATTTACAAGATTGTTATTGCAATCTGTATTTTGCCATTATAATAAGAGCTGCTCCAGTTGTATGAATAAAAAGAACCTAGACTCCTGGACATATTACAACCTTCCATGGTGTGTTTTATGAGCTTGGAATGCTCAGTTATGTGGCTTGATATTATACCCTCAAGATATCCTCAACCTGAGGTTCCAGAGATTTTTATTTCATAGAGTTAATGAAAAAACATTAATGTTTTGCAGAGCAAAGCCAGCATATATTGGACATTAATACACAGGGTTTCCTTTTGCCTTTAGGCACATTCTATGACTTGCCAGGTGCTTGTAAGATAGCAATGACATGGCTGAGAGAGACGCACAGCTCCTCCAATCAGTGGTAACTCCCCTGTGAGGCACTGTGGAGCTTGCAGCATGTCAAAAGATGTCTTGAAGACACCCAAAATAAAAAAATGAAAAATGGCAGTTCCACATTTAAAAAAATGATACCTCTGTTCATCTTTAGAATAGTCTTTAGTTATAGAGTCTATGGTCTCCACATATACTCTTTCGTTATAACTGTATAACCCCGGAATCTGCATGGGGATGTAAATCTACTATCTAACCCAACTCACCCAGGACAGGGATTCACAGTAACACTGTCACACACAGCACCACAAAGCTCAAGTTTGACTCACCTCCGTGCTGACACAGAAAAGTGTGGTTGGTGATGGGGCCAGGCTCGGTGAAGGTGTTGAATTTGTTCAGCCACTCTCTCGAGATATAGAACTGTAGCAGACTGTGCTCCTTCATGTTGGCCAGAGCCACCACCTTCTGTCTCTCCCTCACTGACTCCTCGCTGCTCTTCCTGTGACACAAACACACAGTGTATGCAAGCCCTGAAGTCATAAAATTCATCCTCTGACCGCTTGCAATTTATCACATGAAATGTCCACAAATCACTGTCAGAGCAGCAAATGTGTTCCTTTAAACTAAATTGCACTATATAGGAAATCATCCAAAACCAGTGGTATTTAAATCCTGGTCTGAGAGAGCCAAAGTCCTTACGTTAACAAGGCAGCCCACCTAGTGTGAGGTCACACGTGAATTATAGGTAATCCTTTAGGTTAATTTAGGCACATTAAGTCAAGAAATCATTCAATTAGATGATCATGAGAACAGGAATTAAAAACCACAATATCCTGTGGTTGATTCTGAGATACTGAAATATATATGGGCCAAACATCATTTCTTTGACTGCTGAGGGGTATTTTCTCACCTGTAGAAGAGCACATAGGCCTCAGCGTTCTGCACCACCGTCTCATGGACCTCCGTGACGTACTGGTCATCAAACTCGTACCACTGACCATTTATTACATTCTGGCAATAGGCAATGTAGTGACCACCTGTTCAATGCAAGGATAACACAAGTCATGACACAGAAATTGATGGCATTATGATTCTGATAGTCAAGAAGCCAGCCAGTACCAAAGAGCCACCAACTACCAAGAACATGGCGTTGGCAGGGTTGGCATGACTTTTGAAGGGCTTGACGGCACAGAAAACGTTTGTTTTTTCCACCTCACTTCATATTGCATTTTTTTCCCCACACTCAAAGTCAAAGTCACCAAATTTTGCCCTTGCTCACTCACTAAAACAAAAAGCATTTTAATGCACGTATTTCTTCCCTTTTGAAACAAATAGTTGATGTTTTTGAAGATTATTTGATTCTTCCCTTCCATCGTGGCTGGGGATGTTTCTGCTCTGAGAAACCAAACAATGATAAGCTAGGAAATGCCTCAGCAGAATACACTCACAGTGGTATTTTTGCTCCAGTGAAAACTATGTTTCCTTTCTTTAAAAAAATATACGGCCAGCAACAGAGACAAAAAGACAAATGTTGATTCAGTAAAGAGAAATTAAAACAATTTAACTTTTTTTGCACTAAAACGGGCCCAGATTATATAAATAACCTTTTCCCAACCACTAATACTACATTACCACTATGTAATGTGTTTTCACTGAAAAGATGAAAGATAAACTCTGGGACACACAAAAAAAACATTTTGCAGTTTATCTGCAGTTTGTGGATGCATTGAAGCTTTGTTATCTACAGTTTGTAGATGCATTGACGCTTTGTTTTAATCTGGGTCATAGTCCTGGATAACTAGCAGGTGGTTATTTGGGCATGGAACTAGTGCAGATAACAAAACAACAGAACAAAAAGCTCTGAAAAGTGTCTCTTTATGGGTCTTCTGCATTGTACTTTATGGAACATAAGTAGTGTCAAATCACATTATTTCCTGAAGAGAGATTATTACTATGATTTTTATTTTTTTATATAACATTGTATCCCTGGAATGTTAGCTTTGGGAAAAAAAAGAATGAAAAGAAAACAATAAAACCTGAAGGGCTGTGGGACACATGACGTTTTTACAGTATTGCTAATTTTTTTCAAACACACTTAACCGTTTTTGAATGACAAACTTTACCCACTTAAAAAAGCCATTTTCCTGAATAGTTTTTTTTAAGACGCTCTGCCACCTGGTGTTAGAATGTTGACATACTTTTTTATTTTCCTCAGAATGTTGACAAACAGATTCTATCAACCCCCAACCCATACTCACTTCCTGCAGTACCATGGTGACAGATCACCGAGAGGAGGTCATAGGTCGTGATCTGAGAAGGGCTTTCCTTGGCCAGGAAAGGTCGAAGGTCAAGGCCCTCCAATGGGAAGGACACATGGCTGTTGATCTTGAAAGAGTACATGACTTCGTGCCGAAAGCGTTTCAGGTGTATACACAAAATCTAAGAATGAGAAACCACATGGTTTATAAGCAAACTGGAAATAATTTATAATAACATAATAATATAATAACAAAATAATTATAATTAAAACATTCATTCTGTTATGAATTCACTTCATTCAAAGAAAATATAACAAAAAAACTCACTTCCGGTAGACGAAGAACCTTACAATATTTAACACCATTTCGTAATCTGTAAGATAAGGGGAACATGTCAGCATCATAACAAATGGTTATGATTTAACAAACATGCCGAAACAATCATATCTGCAGCTCATACTATGCTGTCTTTACTTGTAGACTTTTATTCTATTATCAGTCCAAATACAGAGTTCGGTGGTTTTCTCATTAGAATCAGTTCATCATTTTTTCTACTGCATATCTGAAGAAGGACAGAGTTCTGGAATGTAAACCCCACATAATACTATAATCTGCATGTACATCTCAAATTATAAAGGGACCCTAAATTTCATGGTATGTAAACGTGCAAGTTAGAACACCTATTCAGAATCATCTTACTCCAAAATAATGTAGTATTCAGAACAAGCTGTGATTGCTGTCCTTTTCAAAATCTTTAATGTAGTTTTATTATATTACATTTTAACTCACTTTTTACATCTTTCGCAGCTGTACATATTATCACCTGAAAACATGAGAAAAAAACCTTATGGTTACAAACTGTTGGGGCATGCAAAATTAAAGCAGTCAGAAATACAATTATTTGTCAGACATAATAGATGGTTTAATGCATTATCTGTTATCAATCATGGAAACTCTTCATTGGAAATTATTATAGGAACACAACCCTCTAAACCTAGAGAAGGACATTTTAAAAGTACAAGATGTTGGCTGAGCACACTTGGAAACAAACCCACCTTTCAGTTCATCAGCAGCAAAGAAGGCAGCCAGACAGTCCTCTAGTGTGACAACAGGACCCCAAAACCAGTTAGGGATACAGGACACTACAAACCTGCAGCAAAGCACAGGGTCAGGCAGGAGCGCCAAGTGTGCAGAGAAGTAACCCGAGACCACAAGAGGGCTCCACAAATTTTGCCAGCTTGTTCTTTATTCTTTTTAGCAGGTTCCTCGGCAGTTAGACAGGAAATTAAGTGAACCTTGAGGGAGACTGGAGAGGTAACATTTGCTAGCCAACCACAGTGGGCACTTCTGAATGAGAAATGTAAAAATGTGCCCATTTTTAGTGCTCCTAAACATACAGCTAGGAGTCGCTGATTCTGTCACGGCTTACAGCATTAACTCCTGTACAGGGTGAATCAGGTCAAAACAAGCTTCTCCACCCTGCCTGACCTGAGTCATTTATCTTTTGACGTAAAATTTTATCCATGGTGACTGACAGGAGAGTAAGTGCCAAATGCAAGAGCATCTCCTCTCAAACTGACATCCCTCAAGCCTACACGCACACAGGAAGTTGCAAGAGTTGCCATCTCACTCTGTCCGACGAGTATATCCTGGGCTTGGTGACACTTGGCGTTTCCTGATCAGAGCTGCCTAGTGCCCAAGGCTCACAACTGTGATGCCTGAATTATTAGAGCTCAACCTACACTCCGAGTAAGAGTCCTCACCACATGAGCCGCCTACAACCATTTCATGACACTCTAATAACTTCTAAAGGGTAACAATTGTTCACGGAGATCATAATATGATGGCTCACCGAAAGGGGGAAAGGTTGCATAAATGCTTATAAACGTTAATGAGCTCTGTTGAGTTGATTCCCTAGTCTTAAGGTGAAATAACACAAGAACAGTGGGAAGGAACTGTCATTTGTTGTACTATTACCCTGAATCACTGCAGCAAAGCATGGCACCTGATTGTATGCAGTACATACGTGCTGAAGCTTAACGCATACAGTACGTCCTGTATCGTCCAAGACATTCATAATCCAGAGATCCCAGGCAAAATGCCACCACAGGTCCCACTTGATGACAAAAGGAAGTGGAAATAAAAGACTACAGCCCCCGCCCTACTTCCTTTGCGACACGCGAGCTGTGTCTGACCTGCGAATGTAGTCCATGATGAAAGAGATCCAGCCTTGTGAAGAGTAGGTATCGCTGCAGGTCCCAGCTTTGACCGGAAGGTTCTGGTGAATCGAGGAGTGGAGTTTAGCAAGATCCTCTTTCCCCGGGATTGGCAGGGACAAGTCCTGAAAGGTTTCCACTGTCGTCGACACCTAACAAAAATAAATGGAGAGACAATGCTTCACCCTTAAACGATTTCCCATCCAAGTCCCTGAGCATGTTACAACAAAAGCCTTAAAACACACAAAATATAAATATCCTTAACAATGACACAAAAGAACTCATTTTAGTGCTAATGCATCATCATTACTGCATTTAGTAAAAACGGTGCTTAAGTGATTTTCCTTTACCTTGCTTCAAACAAAAACAAACAAAAAAAAGAAAATGAAGTCAGACTTCTAATCCTCATTTAAATTATTACTTTTTATAAGATTTAGGTACTGTACTGCCTACCCTCATAGACATTATCACAATTGAGCTATTTGCAGTGCTGTTAATAATAGTGCCATGGATTAAGAGTCTAAACTAAGTACTTTATACATCTCTTTTTAAAAATTCCAGTTAAGCTTTTTTCCAGCAATTATAATCAATACGGACAGCCAAAATAAACCTTGTTATTAGCAAGAAGTGATTACCCAGCGAATTTGGTGGGTACAAAAAAACACCCTTTTAAAACTAAAAATCAGATGTAATGTTAGTATATGCTCTCCTTTCACATCCTCAATGATCAACCCAATATCCTGACCTATACAGCCAGTGCTGCTGATACTCTATGAAAGCGCACACACACCCTGTCACAGGTGAGACACTGGACCAGGCTGAGGATGGAGCCATCAAAAATGTCAGAAATGACACTTCGGTAGCGAAACTGCTTCTTCTTCTTGGAACCAAGCAGGAGTTGAGCTGTTGAAGGATAAAGAGAGGGCAAAAACATCTTGACAAACTGACCAGTGTTCTAAAGCCTTCTTCACTCATTATATCAGTCAAGGGGCTTTCTGAGTCAAAAAACCATTAATACTTGCAAAGGACTCACTGCCATACTCTCTTTAACTGCTTGGGTTGTATAAAAAAATCAGCAAGTTTACTTAGTTCCATGATGTTTTGTACCAACTGTAGTAAACAAAGATTACCAGCAATTAACTTGTGAGTGCTAATTAGAAAACACTGGAAATCATTTGGTAGAAATGATTGAATTCTAAAAATGACAAAATATAAATCTACCTTAAGGGTGAACTGAATTAAGCTAAATCTTTCTACCATGTCCTCTTAAAAAAACAATTGGTCTAAATATATAAAGTCTTTATCATATGTCTGTTCACCACAAAACTAGGTTGTGAAGCATCAAGATACAAACCACCGTATTTGCTGGTGCATGAAAGCCCAGATGAAAAATTATATTGACGTGCAGCTTATGTTACAAACCAGAGAAATATTGTTACAGTTCAAACTGGGCCATTTTTTTCTTTTTCATAAGTCTGGACTCTCCTGATGAATGATACAGCAACAAACTTTTAACTGGTTCCAATATTTTATCTGGAGCTTTTCCAAAAGCTACACACTTGAAAGCATTTGGAGTCAGCACAGGCAAAAATGTCATGAATGTCATGTACTGAACAAACTTCAATGCTGATTACAAAAAGAAGCCACGGAAACAAGGTCCAAAATGTTTGTAGCAATGCTACATTACCATGAACATCTCACAACTGTTTGACAAGTGAACCACTAGTGTTTCGTTTTACTGATGAAAACGTTTTCAACATATACTGCCCTGCAGTGGCAAGAGGAAGTAAGTCCTGGACTGTTGGATTTGATAAAAGGTAGAAAAACATTTTTTGCAAGGCAGTTTCACAATAATGAACATTGTTTCTAAGTACGGTACATGTACTGTATGTAAAAATATTCCAAGAAAAGGAAGAAGGCTTACTTCATATAAGCCAACATTGATTTTCTTTTTAATTTGTCGCCGCCACTTCTTCCTTTTGTCCATCCAGGACATTGCAAATTGTACATTCGCTCATGTTCAGGATGCTCAAGGTAGCAACTCAAAGTTGCTACAGAAAGACCTTCCCCCAAACCTAAGCATAGTAGAAGTGCCTATAGCTGGCAGCTCCCAAAAAGCTAAGAAACACTTCACACTACAATACAAAAGCCTTTATATGAACTGATACACCATTTAATAGAGGTAAGCCCTGCAGAGAACCTGAAACACTTTTCAAGCAATAGAAATGCAGACGTGTTAAACAACTGTAGCACCAGGTGGTGATATATTACACTATGATTTATGGAACCTAAAACAAGCAGTGGTAACAAATTAAAGAGTACAGGAGAAAAGGAAGAGAACCTTTCTTCAGCGAGTAGGTGGCTCCAGAGCGCAGAGGGCTGCTGGACAGTTTGGGGTGCGAATCCTGCAGGCCGTGAATGGGACTGCAGGGGCGAGAGTTACAGTGCATTGCTGCCTCATTGTCAGGCTCTGAAACAGAACCAAAAACATTATATGAGGGACAAACCGTGAAAAATCACCTCCTTTCAACAGAATTCAAATTCACCTCATTTCTCTACCGGTGGCTTTCATCCAGGGGTCTAAGATCCCCAGGTACAAAGGAAAACTTTTTAATCTTTTATTTAGTGTAAAAAATGAACACCTTAACTAAGACTTCTGGTAGGACATTTGGTGGGCATGTTGACATCCTTTTAATATTTTATAATAGCAAATTTATTTGGAAAAATTGCATGCTTATGTTAAATACATTTGAACGAGGACTCTTACTGAAAATGATCTCTTGAAACTAGAAAAAAAAAATGAAAATGGATTTTGTTTTCCTCCAGATCCAACACCACTGGAAAAAAGGAGAAATCACTTAAAAAACAATCTCAAAGGCCACAGCCAACTGAGCCTTTGAGAAACATGGCTTCTGTTTTTTTTTTTTTTTGTCATGTCCTGGCAGTGGATTAAAGCAAGGATTCTTTCAAGTAATTTTCATCTCCTTATTAAACCCATGAAGAAACCTGGAAGCTGAGGAACACGGTGCCAAACTGTGTAGCCCAGGATTGCTCTGAGATGGTGTGATCCCCATCTCACCCCCTCCTGCACCCCAAAATCCCCCAAGGGCTCCTTCGGTTCCTCAAGAAGCTGGTCCATAAGAAGAGCCTGTCCAGTCCTGGAGAGCCACTTAATCTGCCGGTTTGCATTCAACCTGAGCTCCTAGCTACTCAATTTTCATACTTACTGCCTTAACTGGGCCAAATTAACACCTCTCCCCATCTTCTCCTCAGGACAGGAGGTGAACACCCCTTAATAATAATAAACTTTATGTTATATAGCGCCTTTAAAGGTGGCTTCTCAAAGTGCTTTACAGAACGACGACAACAACAATTAAAAAAAATTAAAATTAAAAAAATCACATGCACAATGACAATACACAATGAGAGGAGACAGTAGATGGGGTTACTGAATACAGTAGGAGCAGAGGGGTAAAGAACAGAACCAGTTAAGTAAAGGCTCTTCTAAAGAAGGTTTTAAGTCTAGACTTGAAGGAGTTCAGAGAAGATGACTCTTTGATCTCCTTAGGGATAGAGTTACAGAGCTTTGGGGCATAACAGGAGAAGGCCCTGTAACCCACTGAGTGCAGACGGGCTTGGGGGACAGATAGGAGACCAGAATTAGAAGAGCGAAGGTTGCGAGGTGGGGAGTAGGGCAATAATAGCTCAGACAGGTACTGAGGTGCCAAGCCATGCAGAGCCTTATAGATGAGCAGGAGGATTTTTAAGTCGACACAGGTGTGATCACTTGCACCTGATCAGAATTCTGCCTGCCGAATTCTGGACATACTGGAGTTTGTTCAATGTGAATTTAGAAACCCCAGCGAGTCGAGCGTTACAGCATTCGGGAGAAGACAAATGTGTTCTTCAGCTTTTCAGCCACAGTTTGCGATAACATTGGACGCAGTCTAGCGATATTTTTGAGGTGAAAGAAAGATGTTTTGACAATATGTCGCTCATACGGGTCGAACGTTAAGCCTGAATCGAATATCACCCCCGAGTTTTTCCATTTTGACTGAAGTTCAAGTACACCCCTCGTGCTGCCGTTCCTGGTACCTGGTGTGCGGCTCAGGCTCTGGCTGCACTGGTTGTTGGAGGCCGTCACCTCCTCGTCCCCAGCCCGGCTGGCTCCTCTTCCTTCTTCGGCGGCGGTGTCCACGTCGGCGTCTTCGTCCATCTCCTGGGAGCCCGTGCGGTGGGGCGACCCCGAGAAGCGTCGCTCCTTGAGCCGCTCCTTCTCGGAGATCCCCCCCCGCCCCCCGCCGCCGCACTCGTCCGTGATGAGCAGCTCGGCCTCCCCGGCCCCGCGGCCCTCCGGCCCCTCCCCCCGGTCGCTGCTGGAGCCCGAGTCGCAGGACAGGAACTCGTCCTCCGAGGGGCTGCGGTCCCCCTCTCTCCGCGCCTCGCCCTCCGGCTCCCCACACTCCACCAGGGGCTCCTTCAGCTCCTCGTGCAGCTGGTCCATGAGGCAGCGCAGGAACTCCTGGGTGTCCTGTCGCCACGCGGCAGAAGGGACAGCCTCTTACAAAGATTATCCAAGCAAATCTCCATGGCAACTCCATGCCCTTACTGTCTTTCCACTACTGTACTCTTTCTACATCTCTACAGATGTCCAAAAAAACATGGTTTTCTCTACATAGGCATTTCACAAATCTCAGCAGTCATGATCTGCGGGCTCCTGTGCAACTTTGTACTGTTTCAGGATAACGTGAACGAATGCAAATTAAATTCAAATAAAACAGCAAACTAATAATAACAGGCACTTGGTATTGCTCATGTCTAACCCCGCGTGTTCTAAAACCTAAAAATGAATGAAACGTCTAGGCAATGGAAATCTTATGTTTTTCTGCTTTGGGAACAGTTGGATTTTATGTAAAGAAATGTTTACCACATATTACAAAAAGACACATGTAGTATATATAAATCTAAATATACATTACACATACACATCTGCCAAGCATTTAACTTGAGTTCACTGTGCTTTGATGTTCTAGCACGTTTTTAATGACACATTGAGTCCTTCAATTCTTTACATTCTTGAACTTTATGGCACCCAAGTGGAAGAGTTTTCCATACTAAACTTTTATAAGAGACAACACGTCTGTGTCATGCTGTACTCAGAGTAACAAAGGAAAGAAATGTAACCTGCACATGCCTGCCAACCTGTATTGTGTGGTCACTGCCTAAACTCATAAAACAATTGACTTCACCTGCACCTAATCAAATTGATATCACTTAGCATTCTTCCACTTTTTTTCATTTTCAATTAAAAGCAATGAAAATATGAAAGAATCATGAGTAACGATCACAATATCAGGACGTCTTGTGCTGCAAATCGTAAAAGAAAACCGCAGCTGAAAATAAAACCTTCAGCTCTGAAATGCATATACCTTAAAGCAGAGCGCAGAGGGCTCTGAGCACAGATCGAGTCTTATTGTCCAGACGTCACTGATATGGGCTTCGACCTGGTCATTATCCAAGTTTCCCACATTAACCAAGCATTGCAGGGTTTTGGTAGGCTTGAGCAGGTTGGCATATAATCTTGCTATACACCAGTGACCCTGAAACATCTTGGGAGCTTCCAAAGACAAAAGTGAGAGACACACCACTCATCTGGTTGGTGTGAATTTATTTATAATACTCTGCAGCACTTGCTGCACATGATATACTAAGTGAGCAAAACAGTGGGCACATTTCTCCATCACTGGAACAGAGGCTGCAGAAAATCAAATTGATTGGCAATTCCAAACTAGGTTATAAAAAATGAAAATAATTGGTGCTCGCATGTTATACAAAATGGCTCTCTGTGCCCTGATTTAAGACAAACGATTATCTTGAGATGTAAATGTCACACATAGCTCTCCCTACCTGCTGTGCGTAGCCCCGGAACATCGGATTAACCAGCTTGATTCCGTGTGAAAGACTTGTCGGAACAACATAGCTGGGGCTGAGGAAACAGAACTCACAGAGTTATACTTTGTTGATATCAGAAAATTCCCAAAACACAGGTCTTTTGTAGTCTCCTAACAACAAAGCCCAGGTATTCCGGGATCTTGTTTAGTGGTAATCTTAAATAATCACAAAATACAATTCATAATAATCTATTTTTGTTGATGTCCTTTCTTCTGTCCTATACAATGTTTTTTTCCAGTGCAAATTTAGTTAGAAAGAGGAAATATTTGTAAAGTGGTTCAAAAATGTAGCAAGAAAGCACTGTATTAATCACAATCATCCATCCATTTTCTAACTGCTTAAACCAACACAGGATTGCAGAGGAACTGGAGCCTTTACTGGCAAGCAATGGTTGCAAGGTGTAATCACGATCAATATGATGTTATATTAAGCACTGCGGCTTCATTATACAAAACACTGGGTAAGGTATTTAGAAAGTCTAGATATGATATTGACTTTAAAGCCAAAGAACACCCATGGATAAATCCACAGCTTCTACGGTATTGCAAGGATAAATAGTTCTAGAAAATATACAAAACACAAGAAGCTGAACCTTCCTTACCGTTTCTTGTGCCAGAGTTCAGAAATGAGTTTCTGGTAGCTTTTACAAAGTGCAGGCTTCTTATCAGTCCTGACCAGACCTCCACATTCCAGAAAAAACTGTGTTAGAGGGGGGCTGTGAAGAAATTAGACTGAGGGTCACCAATTGTAAAACACAAGTATCCCAGGTATACATTTCATACTTAACTCAGAAATCGATTCCAATAAACCACAATGTTTTTCCGTTTTCACAGCATTAAGGCCTATAGTATGTCTATACTGATGTGCACTAGAACACACAACAGTTAAAGAAAACCTCAATTACGGGTCGTTAATCTTCAATGCCTATGATACTGATGCACAGGAAATACAATGCTCAGTTCTAATGGATTTCATTGACTCATCAGACATTTTCACTATGAAAATGGAGCACACTGTCACATATCATGCTATCAAAATGAACACATTATAAAGGTAGTGAAGTGTATGACCTCCCTGAGCATTAACTCGGCCCTGGCCACACTAACAGAGACCTAAAATACAGAGTGGATAGACTGCTGTGGAGTTTTTCACCACTCTTGATGTGCAGCTGCACCTACTGTAGCTATTATCCTGTTAATAGCACAGGTGGGTGGGGCCCATGGATATTCTATTGAAGGCAGGTCAGGAAACAAAGCTGTGAATGTCAAACTCTCAGCACTGTTGTTCTGAATTCATGCCATTGTAGTCCTAGCACTGTCTGATCTTGCATTGTCTTCCTGGAAGATTCGCATTCCTGGACTGCCGTGTAGGAACAAAACAGTCCCAGCTCAAGGACTAAGTCAGTATACCAGCAACCTTTAAGGCTGCCCTCAATCTGCATCAAAGACATTGAATAAACCAGTGAATAAAGACTCCACTACTCTCGACCACCACCTCACCGGCCCACAGAACATGATGTTTCTACTTCCTAGCTGTCAATAGGTTACCCGAGAAGAGAGCATGCGCACCATTTTCACACAGATAGCGACCTATAGTCATTCCTTTTTGTGCCGTAGTCGCTGCAGTCCAAAAATGATTTCTGCAAATTGATCAGATGGATGACAGTCTGGGCCTGGTGTGGGGATCCACTTTCCAGAATGTGGCCTGTTCTATCAAAAGACAACTGGGTTTCTCTGGACCAGTGTGCTGCTTGCTGTAGCAGACCATCTCATTCTCTGGACACCGTTTCTTACAGAAGGAGTCTTCAATCTAGCTAGAATCTAGCTAACTAGGCATGACCAGATCCTTTGCCTTTCTTGCATTAATTAAAATAATACATTTTAAAAGTTTATTTACTTATTCTGGCAACTTTAACTCAATTTAAATACCATTGAGCAACTGAAATCAAGAAATCAAATGATTTAAGTTTCACAATCGTTCCTTGGGATTACATAACTCATGCTCAGCAGATTGGTTTGTTTTCATTGTACATCAGTATACAGTAGGCCATTACTGAAATTAAAATGTATTATTTGACTGCTACAGAAAAGTATAACACAAACCTAAACAGCCTGGTTGCCGTTTATAATGCCTGGTTTAATTATTATACATTTAACTAAATTTATAATGCACCAATGCCTAAATGAATTTCTATTAAATGAGTTTTAGCATGACACTTCCCTCTTTAACAAAGGTTCAATCTTGGCCATATGCAGAAAAGCCTTGTGTTTCAAGCAGTGGCAAGAACAAAAGATAGCAATGATGTTAGTAGATACAGCAAGAAGAGGTTTAGCTCACCAGTTAGACAGTGCTTGGAGGGCTGCATTCATGTAACACGAGTTCCCTATATTCTTCATCCCAGTGAGACCTTAATAATTTAAACAAATCAACACAAGATCAGAACAGAATTTGTAAATGATGGCCTTGTTCTATGAAAAGCACGTGAACACAGATCTGTATAACAAAATGTACATGTTCAAAACTTCTTATTAAAAGGAGTAATGAATGATCATGCCTTCAGTTTCAGGAGAATGAAAAACCCCTGCTAGTGTCAGAAGCCTTTCTTTCCGCAGAAATGTTCCAGCACACTTACAACAACTGTGACTTGCACAACATTATACAACCATGACTGGAATATTCAATATTATATACAATCTCAAACAAGTCTCATACAGCTACAACTCTATTTGTTCATGTAGAAAGGTGTTGTCAAGAAAGTAAAAAAACATTTTCTGACAATTTACTGCTGCACTGAAGCACAGCAACCTAGTCTCAAGTTATGATTGATTTCCTACAATCACACTTTCCATTTCATAATGATTACACTAATATATCTCCAGTTTAGGCACTGATATACAGTAATAATTGTCATTTGTTTCCATGGGTAAAGACTGCAGAACCCAAACAGGACAATCCGATTGGTTAATAATTATATTTACAGCTAAAATACAGGATTTAAAAGAATCCATATCCACCTAATAGTATACAAATTTCAAAATGACCTTGTTTTTAATATAACTGTGCCCAGTATATTATAAAATCCCAGACAGAATCTAGAGGTAGCATTCTCAGTACTGGTTGGTCTTATCTGAATCCCCTTTATATACTGAAGCTTTATTCTTAATTTTGGGGGACATGACATTGCAAGCAGGTCTCAACCAACTGGAGAAGGAGATAAGGGGAATCTGCCAAAGAATGAGACTACCTCGTGGTTTGAGCTCATCTTCCTCTGACTCCGACTCCCCCTCGTCTGCGACTGCAATTGGAACTGCCTTCAAGGGATGGCTGCCAGTCTGTGGAACTGCTTCCTGGGAAAGCAAACCAACACCTACTGCTGGAGATTCTATTTTAATATACCAAGGAAAAGGCTTTATATATTATACGAGTTTTCAGAAAGCGTGGTGATAAAAACACACATGTACACACATATGTAAAGCAGGTAATAAAAGAACATGCTGAAACCTTTCCGAGGAGTACAAAAAAATTGTATTTTTCTAATCATTATTAATAAATGTCACCCATCAGTTTTAGCTTGCAAATGAATGTGAGATCGGAAGGCTATTCTATGTAATGCTAATTACATTAAGTAGGAGCGACAGAGGGATCTAAAAGAGAAAAAAGAAACTACTACTCAGTCTTATATATACTGTATGTACTGTATGTGATAAACATCAACTTTTCACTCAACGTCTCTGCTAGTGTATTTTAGTGTTATAACAGCTTTGTTAATACAGGTTTAGGTTGGCAGAGAAGAAACCAATTAGAGGATTTAGTCATCTTGACCAGGTCTACTGCAAGTGTTCACATTACTCCTGTCCTGGAGTCCTTGCACTGGCTTCCGGTCAAATTCTGTGTAGACTTTAAAATCCTCATGCTCACCTATAAGGCTCTGCATGGCTTGGCACCTCAGTACCTGTCTGAACTATTATCACCCTACTCCCCACCTCCGCTCTTCAAATTCTGCCCTCCTTACTGTCCCCAAAGCCCGTCTACATTGTATGGGTGACAGGGCCTTCTCCTGTTATGGCCCCAAGCTCTGGAACTCTTTGCCCAAGGATATCAGAGAGTCACCTTCTCTAAACTCCTTCAAATCAAGGCTCAAAACCTTCTTTAGAATAGCCTTTACTTAAATGGTTCCATTCTTCACCCCTCTGCTCTTCTTAGTACCACCATCCACGGTCTCCTCTATATATTGTAATTGTGTCTTATCTGGTGTATTCTCCTTATTTATTGTTATACTCTTCTTATTTATTGTTATTGTCATCCTGTAAAGCGCTTTGAGAAGCCACCTTTAAAGGCGCTATATAAAATAAAGTTTATTATTGTTATTATTATTATTATTATTATTATTATCTTTAAACCATGTTGATCAGAATGTGGCTCTTTACCTGCTCACTGTGTTTGCACTGGTGGCTAGAGGGCACAGGGGTCACTGGCCTCTGCTCCAGAAACACCTCCCTTTCACAGACATAGCACCAGATCCGGAATGTGGTTAGGTTCACCGTCAGGTTGTGCGTTTTAGCCTGAAAGAAGATGTCAGCAGCATAAATGAACAAAAAGCCTCTCTTAAATATCCCCACATGTCCATACATGAATCCATTTTAGATTATGTGAGACTCTTCATGTCCCCTGACCTTCTGATCTCATTTTCCAGCCTCATCTGTCTTTCTGGACTTGAGCAAGCCTTAAATAATGCAAAGCAAATCTAGTGGAGAATATCAGATAAGCTTACTTACCATGAAACAAACAAACTACCTGGTCAATCTATTAATTAAATAATGTATAAACGTGCAGATGTACAGTGTGAGCCTGTGACAAAAAAAAAACAACTTTCTGCTTTTTCAGCCAAATGAACTTTAAAATGCCACTATCTTACCTGTGCATGTAAGGTGCTGTGATCTGCATAAGACTCCCCACAACCCACATATGGACAATCCTTCTGCACCGCAGCCAAAACACAGGAGAAAAGAGCATGAAGTACATTTACTAGCCATCAACAGCACCTTACTGAATTCTCCATGCCTGGGTTTAGTTTTTTTGTTTATCATGTTTAAGATTCTACCTTAAAATCATAAGATCATCTAATGCAACAAAAAAAGGAATCATCTATATCTAAAACTAAAATGCAGGAAGAATTAAAGGTTCATTTCACGTTCAAAAGTAGAAAAGACTAAAAAGCTAAACGTTTCAGCCGTTGATCTTCCTTCCAGTGAGTGTCGCCTTAAACTGAAACATTGTTTTCTTCCTGACGATTTAGGTATGGAATTAACCTTTACTGCTTCCTTTGCAGTCAGTGCACACTGAGACAGCTTCCCACTCAAACCTCTTAGAAATGAAAATAAATCAGTGCCACGTTATTGCCAATTAACAGATTCTAGCCAAGGATTATTTATGTAGGTTGATACGGAAATAATATTACTGCTCATTTCCTGTGCTACAGTATATATGATAAGACATATTAGCAAATACAAGCATATAAAATCTCAAATGTTCATAGAGGTCGGAGCATGACAACGCTTTGTGCTTTACAAAGATTCAGACCTGTACTGATTGGAAGAACTGAGATAGGAAAGATCTCCATAGGTGCTGAAAGACGCTCTGTGCTATTCTCTGTGTTTCTTAGATGACAATGCACAAATAAACAACTCTTTTACCTGTAGACATGCCCAGAGATTAGGTCCCCCTGCGCCACAAGACTGGCATGTTCCCTAAATCCCCAACAACATAAAAACAAAAATATTCAATTGGACTTTCTGGCATGTCATCAACTAGTGAACCTGTAAGAAAAATGGCATTACTGAAGTTCACATAACAGCAATACCTGCAATGCTTCAAGCATTTCAGAGTCGAAAAAAGTCTGATATTTTAAATGCACATAAGAATATATGTTTAAATCAACCAGAATCACAGAGACTATTGGCATCCTTCAAGTCAACAATTAGCTAATCTGAAGATGTAAAAGCATTCATCAAAGTCCTCTTTGTTTATACCAATATTTGCATTTGTAACAGCAAAGTCAAAGGAAAAAAAAATAAGTTCACTTGAACAAAACTACAGGAAACCGTAATAATTGTGGCTAGTTGTTTGTCAAATGATTTTGGCTAAAAAAAACTCCTCCTGGCTAACCTGGGCTGAAATGTCTTCAGATTTCTGAGTTGACTGTGCAGCTCCAGAATGTGATTTTCCATGTTTGCTTATCCTGTAAAGACCACCTTAGGCCTTGATTTGCATTGCACACTGCAGTCTGAATCAAACAATTGTGAATGGTGTAATACAACACTGTCTTTGTACTCTATTCTCACAGTAGCTTTATTTTTTTAACCGCATTGATGCAAGGATCCATCTTTATGAAGCCACATTTACTAAAAATGCTGATTTTTCAATGATTTGCACTGTTATTTTACAGAAGGAAGCTCACTCCAAGATATTACTGCATGTGTCTTGTCAGCTACACTGCTCAAATAATTCTTATTACTGAAACCTCACCAGCAAAACTCAAGGTTTCAACAAGACATTTTTAATAACTCAAGGACTTGGCAAACACTTTTTAAAAGCAACCAGATTAGTGACAACAGATATGTGTTCTCACCTTGGATTTCTGCAGTAATTCCTCCTTGGTAACCTCACCTATAGAATCTAAATGAGGGCAAAGCTCTCCGTTTTCCGTCATCTCCTTTGACGTTTACCTATTTTTAGATAAAATACAAATGCACATTATGGAAACACAATAAAAAATAATTAAATCAGTGATTACAGTATTATTACTACTGTGTTATTGCCAAATGCTAAGTAACGCATAATCTGTATTCTAATCTACTTGTGAAAGCATATTAAACAATACAGTACATTTTCAAAAACGTACAAGTGACAAGGGAATTTAATTTTGATTCCTCGTTTCAGTCAGAAAAAGGCCTTAGTTAGTTCATCCTTCACAAACAATTAGACCAACTTAAATATCGCTAAAACGTCAGCTCAGACAGTCCAAACAGCCCAGAACCAAGTAAGAACAGCCCTAGAGGGATTTTTATCAGACAGCTGTCACATGAAATTGTATTTAATTTTGATGGTGACAGATCGGAGACTGTAAACAAATCTTGTGTCTGTTACTACTGATTAATCATTACCAAAGTTTACAAAGAATGTTTACCGAGCCCATGAAGACGACATCATAATAACAGGTTTCTAAGTTATTGACACTTTAAGGGATGAGCATAACATGAATGATTACTGTATTACACCAGTTCGTCAGTATCGTTAATATATTTAGCACAATGAAATAAACGAGGACTTCTTCCCTTCTAGATTTCAAACACTAGTAATATCAATAACACCCTTTCAATCTTACTAATGATATAAAATGATTCGACAAGCCCTCAGTCCATTAAGTCATCATCATCACTCATTATTTTAAAGTAGCTAAAGGCATCTCCACACATGTATTTAACTGGCAATACCTTTTGGACATTGTGATACTGTAAATTCCACGTCAAATTACACAGAAATAGAAGTTAAGAATATTGGCCGTGTTAAATGCGGTTATATTTCTTTGCAAAAATAAAGCCTTAGTCATCCTTAGGCAGTCATAATGGAAGCCGAGTGTGAAAAAATGCCGAGGATTTTACGCAAATCTCATAAGACTACCAACACATAACAATGCTCAGAACCCACACATCAAAGAACTGAACGGTTACATGTTAATCCGTCAAGTGAACGACTTGCCATTATATGTCACGAAAGCATTGATCCAAGAGTCCTTTTCACGACTGTGATGATTTCCTACTGTACCAATGACAATTCTTTAAAAAAAACACATACAAATGTTAAATATTAAACATAAAGGATTCCTTAGAAAAAGGGCTACTCTCTACGTCTCACTAAATATGTTTAAATCATAAAAAATGTTGCCTTCAGAACAGTATGTTTATCGCCATATTATGCACTTGAGCATTTTCAATTCTGACACGATGACTGTACATTTTCCATGCATGAAGGAAATGCACTTTACACGCGAGATAAAAACAAAAACAAAAACAAAAGCGTTGTGCGTATTGCACATTAGTCAGTGAGCAGGTCTAAAAGCCACACATAGCTCCGACAACACTCAGCTTCCTGCTATAGGCTCTCATTACACTATAATTTACAGGCCTTTCCTACACCAGACCAAACGCTTTGGAAAAACGCATATACAGCAAATTAAAAGACACTGACATACTTGACAGTTCAGCACCTAAGAAATGTATATTTACCTGCAGCCAGCAGTGTGAAAACGAGCTTCGGAAACATTAAAACATTTGGAAAAAAAAGATGAATAAAGAAACCTAAGGAGCCGAGATGCTACACTGCTCTCTGAATCGCTACAGCGTGCCTCAGCGTCAGATTTGTTTGCGCTGCGTGACAGTGATGTTGACTATTGCCGAGGACTGTGGATATTTTCTGGTTTCTTTGCTGATCAAGAATATACGTAGTGCAAACATGTTTTCACTCGAGACGTTCATAAAACTCTTTTGGTAATTGCAGCATGCTTTGTTTGTTTGCAAGAGACCACAGTTGGGTCAGTTATTCTATACAACTCTGGTAGTGCTCTAAATAAGTCGTACAATAATTTGAATGAGAGTGACGTTGTGTCTTGAATTAGATTTTATTAGCTTTCCAAAACACTTCCGTAACCTAAACTAAATTTGCAAAAGGTTTATTTTTCTCAAACCAACCCTTCTATGTGAGAGATACCCATGCAGGGATTTTTATCATACTGTACCTGTTCTCTGGTCTAGAGCACTGCTTCGGTTTATGTTGGCATTTCTCTCAATTAAAAACATTTATTGACTAAGAATAATAAGAAGGTTGTGGCATCTATATTGTTTCAACATTACAATAAAAAAACATTACAATAAAACACGATATTAGCTCAATTTTAGTAAGCTTTTTGATTAATTTTAATGCTGTACTTTCAAATGTATTTAATGTTGATATACTTTGCTGAGAAAAAGAAACTCAGTTTAAACCCATATGATTTTAGATTGAAAGACTTTTGCTCCAAAGCAAAATAAATGTATTTAGGGAAACGAAGACGACTCGTTTAATTTTTCTGTTTTTCCTGCCCTTCAGAGGGCACACCGTCATTACTTCGGCTTCAAAACATAGTGACGTAACATCCTCTTGGAAGTCGCTGGAATTGTGGGTCGTAGAATCGTGAAAACAGGGAACACATGTACGCACGTATTTTTTGTTGATTTTTTTTAACAAAACAGAAGACGAATATGCCTTCCAATAAAAACTTTAGAAGGAAGAGAGATGATTCTGACGACGAGGAGGACGAGGAGACAACAACAGAAGTCAGGTAAATATTTGATCAGAAGCGTTTAGCTTTAAAACAGTCAGAAACAGCTGAATCTGTTGGAACGCCTTAGGGGTGAAAGGTGTTTCTTTTAGGGTACACACTGATGTGGTACCTGTCGGTTCTTTTCCCTTACAGATCTAAACTTGATGAAGCAAAGGAAATTCAGAGTCTTAGAAAAAGACAGAGTGGCGTGAGGTAAATATTCTGGGAATGGTACTGAAAACAATGCACGGTATTCAAAAGATACATTTCTGTTTTTTAGTCCTAGCTAGTTTTCCTTCAGCCTCGGTTTGTCCACAGAAATATCAATAAGCTTTCCCAGTTCTTTGGCGTATATTATTGATATTTAACTGCGTTTCTGTTTTCCTTAGCATTACAGCCTTACTGGTGGGTGAAAAATTGCCACCTGAATCGGAGATCGAGGTACGTAAGCTGTATGTTTAGGTTTTATCTGCCAAAATCTTATTTCATTTCCAAAAGAAGCCCCACAAGTAATAATGATAGTAGAACAGTGAAATAGCTTGCATCAAATGTGCTTTTGAATAATCAGTATATTTTGTCTCTGAAAGGTTTAACCTTGCAATCAGTTTACATCCAGTTTTTCAGTTGTTGAATGATGCTCTGCATTTGGTTATTTTTGTCTGTCCTTCTGGAAAACTGTTGTATGTAGTACTACAACAAAACATGTACATGTATATAAAATATGTGTACATGCATGCTTACTGTGTGTACTGTATTTTAATCTTTTTAGGATGATCCCTTTAAATTGAAGACAGGGGGAGTTGTGGATATGAAGAAAATCAAAGACAGGAACAGAGACATGTGAGTGTTTTATTTTTTTTAATGCAGCAGTGTAAAATTACGTGGGGATCTGTATATATCTGGGTATATACATCATTAACCTGAATACCTGTAAAACCATAATTAAACTGCAGTGATATAAATTTTAAAAATATAAATACTCTTTCTTCTCCTAGGACGGAAGACGAGACCGATTTGAATCTGGGAACGTCATTCTCAGCAGAGACAAATCGTCGTGATGAAGATGCTGACATGTAGGTATCTTTTCAGTTTCTTTTGTTGTGATCTAAGGCCTCCTAAAAGATACAGAAAGTAAGAATGCAGATATCAGCTATCAAAAGTATGGGATATGTTTTATAGAAATTCCCCGGGACCACACTGTGAAAAGAGTCAAATGAACTTTTCTGAAATGACAAAATACAGTAATCTGCCCTCTGTTGAATTTTCAGCAGCAAATAGAGCTATATTCAAGAGAACAGTGTACTTATTATAGTTTGTCGATTATAATTTGAGCTACAGCACAGCTGGCAGTCCTGAGACCAGCTGTTATTTTCTCATGCTGTTCTTTTCTAAACATTTCAATGTGCTTTCAGGATGAAGTACATTGAGACAGAACTTAAGAAGAAGAAGGGACTGGTAGAGGCAGAGGAGCAAAAGGTGAAGGCGAAGAACGCAGAGGATCTTCTGTATGAGTTGCCAGAGAATATCCGAGTCTCATCCGCCAAGAAAACAGAAGAAATGCTTTCCAACCAGATGCTGAGTGGCATTCCGGAAGTCGACCTTGGAATTGAGTGAGTGATTGATCAGTTAACGGAACAAACAAAAGTTGTGTTTAAAATAAATTGCACTCTAGGACATTATTGTACTCCAAAACGGGCTTTAATTTCCTTTTACTTATGCAAACAAATGTGTTCTCACAGTAAAGCTACTGTTTATCCAAGCAATTTGTAATGTGATTGTCTTGCTCATTTAAATATTTCTCTTTTCAATAATTTAGCTTATATTGTAGTTATAGTACCCTATCATCTCAAAGCAAGTACGTCTATCTGTATTAATGGGATATACTTCTAAACAAAAATGTACTACCTCTGTTGGCTTACTGTTCTTGGGACACTTTAGAACAGAATGCCTAGAGTGCAGTGACATTGAAGGTTTGGTTTTTGAACAAGAACGCAGATGCTTGTCTCTTTTCACTGTCTCTCAGTGCCAAGATAAAGAACATCATTAGCACCGAAGACGCCAAGGCCAAGCTCATAGCGGAGCAACGCAACAAGAAGAAGGACAGCAGCACTTCCTTTGTACCTACAAACATAGCAGTGAACTATGTTCAACACAATCGCTGTAAGCCCCATTCTCTTTGTAATTAATAAAGACCCACAATGTCAAGCCTAACTGATCCCAGATTCCTGTATTGATAGTGCAATAATGTAACACGATTTGGCTTGAACTGACTGAGCCAGATTATTGAAGTAACAGTACATTATCCTCAGTTACTTATATCCTTTTAGAATCTGTATGCCAAAGGATATAGGATCAACATTATGCACTGCCCAGTAGTGTAGTGTAATGTCAAATGCCTGTTCTTCTGTTTGATTTTAGTCTACCATGAAGATGTGAATGCACCAGCAAAAAGACACAGAGAGGAGCCCAAAGCTCGGCCACTTCGAGTGGGGGACACTGAGAAACCTGAACCAGAAAGTAAGAGTTGACAGAACAATCACCGTGTACTAAAATGAATTCAGTTTTAAATCAAATCATCTTATTTTTACTTCACATGCTCTTTTGCTGAAGTGGACAACTTACCACCTGTAAACCTGAAGTTAATTTTTCTGTTAAATTTGAAAGCCATTTAGTACAAAATAAGTAAGAATATCCAAGTTTAACACACATTTGTGTAACAACAGCCTAAAAAATTGCACCTTTGTCTTCCACAGAAACGCCTCCTAATCGCAAGAGACCAGCCAATGAGAAGGCCACAGACGACTACCATTATGAGAAGTTTAAAAAGATGAACAGGAGATATTGAACTGACTTGTCTGAGGATATCTATGACTGTCCAGGTCTTTTTCCAATTTCCTATAACATTGTACTGCATTAAAATATCTCTTTGTTATTATAGGTCTTTGTAAGTTTTTTCATTAAAGCCATAAAGCAAGAAATGGGTATTTAAAATCAAACAGTAATGATGACAAAATTAAGAAAACGAGTTCAGGTTTTAAAGAGATCTTGCAAAATGAAGGTGAAGTGTTTCACACGTTTAAAATTTAACACTTGTTCCTTTTTGTAATGGTGACAAATCTCTCAATTTGTTAGCATTTGAAAAAGTGCAGCTAACAATTTTTATTACACAAAACTGCTGTGTAAATAATTTACCAGGCTTTTGTTTTTGTTGCAAAAGGGCAAAATTTGTATTTTGAGCAGAGGTGGCATTGCTAATTGTTAGCAGTTTGACTTGAAA